CCTACAGTAACGTTATTAGAAGTAACTTCCAGTTACTCTTAGTACTTATATTAATAGTACAGAGCAAAGGTGTGCTGTAAGCTTACCGGTATTGTTCACAGTCAGTAACTTTGAGCCATCTTCCAGAGGAAACTATACTAACTACTAACTGTGCAAGTATCACAAACCTTCGGAAGCAGTGTTTGGCGATGATTTATGCCTTACTGTACCTACAGAGAGACCATGAATTTACAACAGCATTTCAAGCATCTACAATTATACTCCGGAGTAGAATCCAGAATCGACAACTTCAACTTATCCACATGTTGCATACATTTCCATGTACCTTACCATTTCCAGCTTCGTACGCATTTGCCCGTACCCTTGTACTAACCCCGAAACCCCTTGTGTTTACGTATTATGTGTTTTCGTGTAATGCCTGTTCCCGAGGTTATGTTGCATCGTCAGTGCTGGGCTAACCACTGTCCATGCGCATACTGTACGGTAACCCCTAAATACATAAGTGTGTGTAGCAGGTGTTGACATACCGATCAAACTGATCCTGATATTCAATGGCATACAAAGTTTAAGTATAGAACTTGTAATCATGGTTGCAGTTGTATGCTTGCTACCGGTAGAAGTTGTAGACTCTAAAAAGGGGCTTGTACCGGTATTTTCGATTTATCTCGTACCTACATACTTCGACGAAGTAGTTACTACGTAGTAGTTAATTGTCTTTACATACTTCGACGAAGTAGTGAGTTAATTGTCTGCCGGGACATATTTAGCTAGCAACAGGACATCGCATATCCGCTCCGCCGTGTGTACCGGTAGGCTCATCCAACACGTACGACGATGAAATGTCAAGCTCAAGTGGTAAATACCACCGAAAGCTCAAAAGCTCATTCAACACCATTCCCCCGATGCAGATCGAGATACGAGCATTATGATATAGGGATTGCCATGTAGTCATAGCGATGGATATAAGCGTTTAGCCATATCACGCGAGATACAACGCTCCCCCCCCCGACGCAACCCCCACCTGAAGTCATACACGGAGTCGATTTTTCCAAGTTGCCACGATGACATTTGACAGGTCTCTTGTGAGTTACTGTATCACGCCCGTTCGTGAGGGGCGGGGGGGGGTAAAATCCCCATCGTACAAGTCCAAACTCACACAAGACGTTGCCCCTATTGCGATTGATTCCCGAGCAACGACAGCAGAACACAGTATACGAGAGAGAGAGAGAGAGAGGCACTTTATTTTTCAACAGTGGTGAAATATATTCCAAACTGACTGCTATGAGGGGGGGATAACCAACAGTCCAAGCCCCAATCACACAGATACAATTAATTCTACAACCTTTCTAGACTAGACCAATACTAGCTAGTACTACCAACTGCTACTACAGAGAGATAATGTAATGAAACTGGAGTCCTCGGGAGAATCGAATGTGTTAGGAGAATCGATTAAAGAACCGCCAGAGCCAATCAAATCACGTCATGTCAAATTTCTGCCAATCCAAACGTTTGACCCCTCCGCATTGGGCAAAAAAACATATATATATATTAATCGTTGTATAGTATAGTGTGTACAAGATTAAATAGATTCGAATGCTGCTATTTGGTGAAATGACTCTGATTTCTAAATTTGGGTGAAATGCACAATATCGTCTGACAATAAAGAGGTGCGCTGCACATATCAGCCAGTCGCAAAAAAAGGCAGATGACGCGATGGAGAGTGCCCACGTCTCCGTATATGACTTGACCAAATATGACGTTGGTTGGAACGACGACACGTACTTGTGTAAACTAGCTCGCGACGCCCACCAGAGTTGTTTGGTCATGGTGGATTTCCGTCAGCACGAGGAAACCATGACTGCTTGCTACCGTGGCCACAATCATGTAGCCATGTCCGAGTAGAGAAAGCAGTTTACATGAAGGGTGTTCTTTGAAAGGAGGATGAACTACAATTTGATTTCGTTACAGCCACGAGATATCAATGCTGTCTGCACGGCCACAACTCCCCAAAGTAGCGAATGTCAAAAACACATATGTGTTGAGGGGGTCGTCTCGGACACAACCGCCATGTTGCCAAGGGGCAATTGATGTTGAATGGAATGACTTAACCAGTCGATTTTGGAGGCCATGGATACCAAAAGATGGGGGGTGACGAAGTGTTTGAGATTGAACGATATCCCAAACTCACCAGTGTATACAGTGACTCCCCCTCGCAACTAGCTCCACCCAGCACGACTAAGGTAACCCAGGTTATGACCAGGGCTGTCGCACTTTGGTGTCTGTGACGACATAGCTAAGCCACGCTCCTTCCGCGATCGACCGAGTTACCGTTGGTATGTTCAAGCGCAATGGGATATGAAAAAGGCGTTGCGAATTTATGACATACAACTTTCATTTGATTTCAAAGAACGGGCATATCGCTTCATCATTCTCGAATTCTAAATAAAGGTAGAGAATTCCCTGGTGAACAACCCATAATTAACAAGGGTGTGTGTCTGGTAACATTTCAAAATTAATATTGCATTTTCTCGGAAAATGGGATTAACCCAAAATGCCATTTTCAAATGGAGGTAAAAGGTCCATTTTGTAAGATGGCGTTTTGGACCTATTCAACGAGTAAATCCCACGTGGAATTATTGGATTTGGGGTAAAACTCTTCAAGCAAGACATGTTTCAATTTTGACCAGATTTGTTGAATTTGGGCCAGAATTATTGTAATATTATTACAGGTTACCATACGGGCCCCTATATTTTACGAACCAATCAATTTGGACGATTGCGTAACGTTGTTGCGTCAACACATCCGTTCTATCTATTCCATGATTATGTACTAGTAAGGCCCGCATAATTATCCCCTTCAAAGTCGCAAGTCCTACAACGTTACGCTTGGTAACGTTAGTGCTAACTTCTTTCAACGAACTACATCTCCTCTGAATTACAAGGAAGTTTCCATGGATCACTTGACGATCGGTAATCAATGTAAATATTAATAGTAATTTTGTTAGTAACTTACTCCGGAGTAGTAGTCGTATACTATTAATAGTATAAAGAAGCTATTAATAGTATAAAGAAACATGTTTCGAACGCGTTTGAAACCTCCACATGCGACAGGGCCTGCTGCATCAACAACACCCAAAACCGTTACATGACGCGTGGCGCGTCATCGGTTCATCTACGATGGGATTGGTGCAAAAGAAAGTCCATCCTGCCCTGTCATTGGTGGAAATGGACAGTTCAGGATGGGATACTTTTCCGGATAGGTTATCCGGAGGATCGCAACCAGCCTTTCGCAATGTTCTTCACTTTTGCATTTCCCCGCAGCACATCCCACACCAAAACCATCATGACGGTCCAACCTCAACTCGATACGCTCCAGACCTCCGTGGATGGCGGCATCCAGGAAACTCAGACGTACTTGGCTAATGTACGTTCGTCATGGACATGCTTGCTCTGTACATGAACCCATCACTCATTGGTGCACTCCTGTAGTTGCAAGCGCGCATCGCCGAGTACGACTCGCAGTACCAAGTGTCGGAAACCGCGTCGTCGTACTTGCAGACGGCGATCAACACGGCCAACTCTGCCGTCGAAGACTTGAAGAAATCCGCCTCGTCGCTCCGCTCGACGACGTTGTCGGCGGCGCACAAGCCCGTGGAGCTCGTCCAGCAAGCCCTCGCCCAAGTGTCGGCGTCGCTCGTGCTCATCAAGGACCACGCCGCCACCTATGACACCAAATTCCAACTCGCGGTACATGACGCCCGTGGCAACTTGGAAACGTTGACGTCGGTGACTCGTCAACGCACGACGGATGCGATCCAACAAGCATCGCAGCAAGCGACGACCGTGCAATCCAAGTTGGCGAGCACTGCCCAGGACGTGGGCACGTCGGCGATTGCGTACGCCGGCGGCGTCGTGCATAAGGTCGAAGCCATGGACCAGTACTATCACGTAAGCGAAAAGCTGCAAGATACGGTCGCGCTGGCGACCGAGAAGGCCAAGGAACTGGACGCAACCTACCAAGTGAGTCAGCGCGCGATCACCCTGGACACGCAAGTGACGGGCGGGTTTGCCGCGCGCACATTGACCAGTGCATCGGAACTGGTGCATTCCGGGCTCGAGTACATCACGGGCAGCTTGCAGTACGCCAAGGACGTGGCGACGTCCAGCAACTCGCAGCCGTTGACCACGTCCGTGCCGACGATTGAACCCCCCGTAGCGACGAGCGAAGATGATGATGTCGGACACGTGAAGAAGACCAAGACGGGCGCCGTGGAGGTGCACGAAGAGGTGGTTCAAGAAGCGACGACCCAGTAGGATGATGGAGAGGTTTGAATAGTTTTTGCCATCTTTTTAACAATCACACCATGTATATATGAACAACAACATGCACTCTCGTATGAATGTATGTAGTCTGCCCTTGCCCCTACGTATGCTGACTAACTTCACAGTCAGTAGTAGTACTGACTCCCCACTGTGTACTGTATATGCTGAGTACTTCGAAGTACTATTAGTACCTAACCACTACACATGTACATGCTGAGTGCTGAGAACTGGAGTACAGTACTCCGGAGTAGTAGCGAACTAACTGTAGTACTACTACGTACTTCGAAGTACTAGTACCTAACCACTACACATGTACATGCTGAGTGCTGAGAACTGGAGTAGTAGCTAACTAACTGTAGTACTACGTAGTACGAAGAACTACAGTACTGTAGTGTATCGGTAGCTTGCTGCAACTAAGTAATGACCCCCTTTAGAATATTTGAACTAACTAGTGACTTTCATACTAATTCACGGAAACTAAAGTAGTATGAACCTGGTGCGAGTGTCATAGTATGAACCTGGTGCGAGTGTCATAGTAAGTTACTAGTCATTACTTCGAAGTATTAACCAGGTCCACACTAATTTTGGGGTTTCGGGGACACTATGTACATGGTGGTATATGTATGAACCCAAGCAACATGCACTCGTCATTGATAGTCTGCAGACTTGGTTGCACGGCGAATCAACGTTTTGTCTAACTACAGTACTTGTAATGACTCCCCTCTTCGTAATACAGTACTAGTATGCTACTGTACTACTGTAGTACAGTATGCTGCAATTAACAACTAACGAAAGACTCCACACTTTGTACTAGTATGCTGAATGTTTGCTGCAACTAACTTATGACACCCCCTAGTATGTTTTAACTAACTCGTGACTCTCACACCAATACTGTTAACCAGGTCCACTTAGCATGCTGTACTACATTCCATTAACGTGTACAAAATTAGTGTGAAACGGAGGTGTTTTGAGTCACACTAATTGAAGTCGCACACTAATTTGACGTTGTTGATGGTCTCCTGCAATCTGATTGGCTAAATCCTTCTGCCGATTCTTGTGTCCATAATTTGGCTGTGACGATTCATTCTCTATGTGACTCCAGTTTCGCATAATTAACACACAAATATATCGAATTCACATGTCAAACCCGAAAACCCCGTAAGCTTAAAGTTCAAACCAATGAGTCGGGGTTTCGGGAGGAAACCTCTTTTCTATACCATTTCAAATTTGAAATCTTGCTTTCCACCAAATAATGGTCCAATACTACTACTATGAATAGTATTCCTCACTTTAAATATAGTTCCAACACAAATAGCGTTCGATGACGAGAAGGAGAGTTTTTTGGTGTCGCTATAAGTTACAGTTCATGCTAGTTGGTAGGATTTCCCCTGGAATACAACATGGCGCGCATGCGGGTTAGAATGGACGGTCCAGGATGCGCGGTCCGAAACGTCGTCGATTCGGTGGGCCTTGTCGGCGACGGGTTGGCTACTCCCACAAACAACCCCATCAATACACAAAACCAAAAATCCTCCCAAACTTTATATCCATCCCCACACATATTGGTATATACATTTATATATACATATATATATATACATATATATATAAATATATACATAAATAAACAAATATATATACATATATGTATGTATATATAGGCTACTCACACAATACAACCCCATCAATAAACAACACCTCCCAAACTTTATACCCATCCCCACACACATTGGTATATATTATATATATATGACCACATCAAGTATACCAGTTTTCCGGGTATATATATATGTCATCAAGTAAGTATACCAGTTTTCCGGGTATAACTCGGCCCTTGAAACAACACTGGCTTGGTATGGCGTTGGTCGATCGTAAACACCTTGTCCGGTGGAATAGCCAGCCCCAATTCCGAAGATGCAAATAGAACATCCACCCCGTTTTGATTGGTTCCCACCGGCCTCGATACGATCGCAGTGAAGTATTTGGCCCCCAACGGCGCCATCACTGCTTCCCCCACGGCAAACTTGGCCGAAGGTAATGTATGGGCGTTGGTATTGCAGTGAATGCGATGCAGGGTCATATCGCCGTGACAGAGGGTAAGGTCGGCGCTCGTCCCGCCTTCGTACCCACTTGTACTTTTCCAATTGCGCGTGAACCGTTTCTTTGGGCTTAGCACTAGCGATACCAATCACATATATATATATATATTGTATTTTTATGAACCAAACATGAGTACTACTATAAATGGTTTAATTGGATATATGGAATCGTTCATTTTCGATGGCGACTATATATATATGGTGTCGAATCCGTTCCAACATATAGACAGACTTCTACTCGAATGAATGGGGCAAATGTATTTTTGACAACCCAATCGCACGAATATAAAAGTTTAAATCATCCAAACAACAATATATCTCTTTAAAACTTGAATACCATCATATATTACAAGCAAGCTTAAAATCTGACACAAATCGAATATGACAATATATATATATGTATACATGTTCAATATATATCAAAGGTGTACGTACCGGTGGTGTCGTGGATGGGGGTGATGTACTCGTGCGGGACAGCGTCGTAAGTCTCGCCATAATCAAACACAACGCGGTAGCTGCCGCCCGGGCCCACGGCTTGGATTTGGCCAGTACAATACTTGGAAAACCGAGGGTTGTATGCTAATATATGGTCCAGTGGGGCAAACGTCGGCGGTTTCTTGATTTTTGGAAGTATGGCATGTTGGAGGTTTTGAAACGAAGCCTAAAGACATGGTTCATCATCATACTAGGACGGGAAACCTGTCGGGGATAATACTGTATATATTTTCAAATCGATTCGAAACAGCAGAATGTCTTATCGCCTACACCAATCAAATCCCGCTCTGTCGACTTTCTGCCAATCCAACGTCCTCGGCATCGGGCAAAACGGGTATAATAAATGTTGTATAGTTCTTATAAGATTAAATTTGATCAAATGGAAGGACTCCAAAGCCCAAATTTGGGAGATGTATATTATATATATTGCAATATCACCTGTTTGAGGATAACTCCGTCTGCAAACTGAATGTCGCACGATCCAGTGCTGTTGTGGACGTTACAGACGCGCCCTTTTTCGAGTAAATTGCTCATGGGGTGCTTGGCTTGAACCCAGTCGTCCATATTGAAGCCCTCTTCCGTCATTCCTGAAATACATGGATATAATATATTATATAAATACAAATCTAATATATCATATAAATACAAATCTATTCGTCAAAGTATGTTTGTTGACCGGAACAAGAGGAGTAAAACATGACACGTACCAAATGCTTCCTGGATATCCAACGACATCAAGAACGCCCCGGCCTCGCGACTGCTTGAATCGGCTACCAATGATATTAATATATTTGTCAAATGGGCATATATATGATAATATTTTCGGGGTTTTGGGGTACCTTTGCGAAGAAATACTGCGGGCACGGATGAATCGACTTCGCCGTTGTCGTATTCGACAAATACTGTCCGGTTCGAATTGAACCCAACGATATACCCGTGGTTGGACGCTCCAACTTCCAAGTCGTGGACAATGACCTACAAATAAATACACCGGAAATTAGTGTTTAAGTTAGCCTAAAAATTGAAACACGATCCTCCCATACATTCCATGTGCAAATAAATGTACGCACAAATGCAGGTATACATTGTTTGTTGTGTGTTTATTCGAAACTGGAGCGCCATAGAGAATGAATAATCGACACAACCAAATGAACCGAACACTCGGCAGACGAATTGAGCCAATCAGATTACAGGAAAAATCATCATCAACATCTAATTAGTGTGTTTCTTCATTAGTGTGATACCAATACCACAAGACCCGTTGTTACACACAAAATTCAGTACTACAACGAATCATCGATAGATTTGGCGAATCAGCACAAAATCCCATAGTTTAAACGGACAATACCCGTTCGTGGACACAAAACGTATGGCCTGCCACTTCAATCTCGACGTCGTTCGTGGCGGTGATCGTCGCGGCGTGCGGCCTAATTCCATCCAAAACGATGTCATAAGAAAACAAAACCCCGAAACCCCAGGACCCCGAAACTAATATCGTGGTTTTATCACAGTACCTGGGCACCGCGATCAAATGCTCGAGCGGGACGTTTGTGATGGCGTCGTGGAGGCCGTCGACTTTGACGTCAAATAACGTGGCACACCGACGTCGTCGGATTGTACACGGCACCAATTGATCGTGTACCCACTGCCACATAAAATATATTTTTTAAATATATATTATATATATATATTCAACGAATGGTGAGTAAATACAGTGCACGTACACTGAGGACTTTGGCACCAGGGTACACCAAGTCGTGGCACTTGGCGAGCTCGACAAACTGCTCCAACAGGTCCGTCGTCGGATTACACGGTTGACACTTCGCAGCGACCACATTTGCATGCATTTTTTGCTCCAAATCTACCCAAAACACATCAAAAAGAGCTGAAACCAACAACAAACTATCGACCGTGCACACAAATATACATGTTCACATCAATAAGTATATGTTCATACCAATATATATATATATATATAACTGTTCAAACCAATATACATATATATATGTTCACACCAATTTATATGTGTTCATATTAATATACTAGTATGTGCATTCACATTAATATATATGTGTACATCCCAATATATATATAT